GAAGGGCGGCCTGTGGGTGCTCGGGTACCTCGGTCCCAGGCCTACCCCGGGCGGCTGGCAGCTGCTCGGGCACAGCCACGCCTGCTCTGGCCTCGGGGTGTGGCCTGGGCCAGCCCCGCGCAGCGTGGGTGGGCGGGAAGGAAGCTTCGCGGGTCGTGCTGGGCCCTGTCCCCCTTCCCTCCTTGGCCTCTGGGATCTGCTGGTGTTTCCCGCAGATGTGCGTTAGCGTCCCTCTAACCCGGAGCGTCCCTGTTACGATGCCGGCTGCTGTCCTGCCGCCAGGCATTCGCAGAATTGGCTCCGAAGCAAGCGGATCTCGGCCAGGGCCAGCGTGGAACTTGCCTTGCACGGCTCATGCGGGCGATTTTTCCTAGGGTATCAAGATGCTCGTTTCTGCCAAACTGACGTTTTTAATGGATGTTGTTCACGGTTAACTAAAAAAGCCCCAGCTCCTTCACAGTGGTTTTTCCATGCTTGCTGCAAGTCATTTACTTTTTGGAGGCCGAAGAAATTTTGCTTTTCTAGTTACTTGTTCATTTGCTTCTTTTTCATGTAATAATCACACTATTTTACTTGTGTGCTGGGTTAAAATCTTGCACTCCATGGGACTTTTTTTTAAAGGTGCAGGAACAAAAAGTCTTTGCTCTAAAGAATGTGGTGTTTACATTTTTACATGCAGGAGAAAAAAAGGAGGGAATTATGCTGTTTTACACACAGCAGTACAGCTCTTAAGCCACTCTTCATAAAACAGATTTTTGCTGCATGTTTGTTCAAAATGTGAATCAGTTGCCTGAGGGATTTTGGTGAGAGGAGGATGAATAGTGTTTTTGATATTTAGAAAAATAACAGTTTGAGGAGTCACAGTGGATGTCAGAAGAGTTCTGTCACTGTGGGTAATGAAATGACGTGGTGAAGAGTGTTTCAAATGGATATGTACATTTACAGTTTCTTCAGTTGTTAAATAACACTCCTTGAAATGTTTCCTGAACATGGCATTTATTTTGTGTCCTTTAGAACATAATAGAGAAAAAACAATGATTATGCATCATCTTCTTATGGATAGCCTTGGACGTGTTGTTCCTTACTACTGTAGTGGTAGACTGCAAGAAGTTAAACGGACAGATTTTAAAAACTGATGGTGTTCCTGATAAAATATTTTGGATATAAATAGTCAAAAATCGGAAAAGTTGTGTTAATTCTCGTGTGGGTTAATGCCAGTAGGCAGCTAAGCATTGCACAGCTACTTGCTCACTTTGCCCCCATCCCCAGGGGGATGGGGGAAGAGGGGAGGAACAGTAAAAGCAAGAAAACTTATGGGTTGAGATAAAAATTGTTAAGAAGTGGAGGATAAGTGGAAAAAGAGAGACAGAAAACAAAACAGGTGATGATGTAAAGGCAATCACTCCTCCCACAGATAGACCGATGTCCAGCCAGTTCCTGAGCAACAGGTGGCTAACCTCCATAAAAACACCCTCCTCTTGCGTTTTATTGCTGAGCGTGATGCTTTATAGCATGGAATACCTCTGGTTAGTTCAGGTCATCTGCCTGGTTGCCTCCCACCCTCTTGCACACACCCCGGTCTGTCCACTGGTCGAGAGCAGAGGGAGAAACAGAAAAGTCCTTCATGCTATGTAAGCTCTGCTTAGCTGTAGCTAAGACAGTAGTGTGTTATCAGCATGACTTTGGTCACAAACCTAAAACACAACACCATACACGCTGCTATGAAGAAAACTAACTCCATCCTAGCCAGACCAAATACATGAATACACTTGTTACTGTTTCTTCTTCCCTCTACTCCTGAATACACTTGTTACTGTTTCTTCTTCCCTCTACTTCTAGTTCTTCTGATCCTAACACAGGTATTATACAAATACCTAAATTAGTGACCAGGGTGGAAAATGTAGGTATGAAGCTATGCATTATACATTTCACTCTTATTTTTGGACTCTTGAAGCACACATGACGGTGCATGGCTGTGTCTTCTGCTAGTCATACGTCATTCTCTGTGTTTCAGCTTAGGTGAAAAATGAGGCTCACATTGCTTCTGCAGCTCTTGTTCCTTCTGAGAAAGTATGACGTTAACAAATGCTGTGTGCCTATCAAGAGCAAGTGTACACTGGACAGGAAAGATCTGAACAGGCACCAGTGAAAATACAAGTTCAGCTAAGATGTCAGCAATGGATAGATATCTCAATACGTTGTCTTTCCTTCGTGATGATTTGCTCCTGGGGCTTGAACTGAGGAGTTCTAACTTTGCATGCAGTTCTTCTGGAGAAAGTAGTAATGCATATCCTGGTTTAGTGACCAAGCATGGATCACTGAGTATCTTCTGCTGACACATTTACGCTGCTTTCCTTAGTGGGAGAGTGCTCAGGCATCATGCCCGATCTTAACAGCTGTGCGTAATTTGTTTTCCTAAACTCCACCTTAAAAACAGTTCAGTTGTTCCTTCTTTCATTTTTAGGCTGCTCTAGAATACAGATAGTCCAGGGATTAAAAGGTAATTTCTGGTAAAGTTTGTTTGTGATCACTTCATGCCCATTTGCTCTCATGCTACTGACCTTAAAATCAGAATTATTTTCCCCCCTTAGTGGTAATCCCTGTGATACTTTTATTGAAAGGAAGTCAATTTTCTTTTCATCAGGGTTTTGCTAGGCTAGACAAGTTACACTTTCATCATGTTTTAGTTCATAAAATGGGCGATATGTTCCTCCATCCTGACAACCTTTGTTGCAGTTGTTCTTTGCATCTGTCTGGGGGTGGTCAGAACTCTGAATGATATTGTATGTGAAGGCTCACTAGTGCCTAATTGCATGACATTGGTACTTTGCTGTTTTTACTGAAAAGAGTCTACTGAAATGTTTTCCATTTTTTATGGCCACCTAATTTGGGAATTAACTGACAATCCACAAGGGTAAACTTCTACCTCTCACTTTTGGTTTTCAACTGAAGAGCTCTGAATTTAAACGCATGTAGGTATTATAGTCTCTAAACTCCTATTATAATTCCCAAACTATTCTTTCAGAACTTTAATAGGAATCTTGTTCCAACCTGATAGTAGGTTGTGTCAAGAGAGGAAGCATAACCACTCTGCAAGTTTTATACTTATCCTTCATTTTTCAGCTAAACTTGTCACTTCTTATATAAAAAATTAACAGTGTTTGTGCAGGTTACATTTACTACATTTATTGCATGATCTAGCTTTTATATATTAGCACATTTTCAATTCAAAAACCATGGGAAAAGTATTTTTCATACATGTATGATGAGGACAAGTATTTTTGAGCTGAGGAAAACAAATCACTAAATAGTTGAGACAAACAGAATTTAATTACTGACTGCTCACTGAATTAGATGCTGACTTACACTTAAAAATCTTGGGACAACTGACTGACCAGTGTGTTTATCTCAAGGCTGAAAAGAAACAAACAAAAAGCCTCAAACATCATACTCTCTGCTGAGCTCTAGAAAAGAATTATTTTCCTGTCAGTCTATTAAACTGCTAAATTCCTTTTCCAGGCTTCAGTTATTCAGTTTTGTTTTCTATTACATGTGGAAATGGCTGCATGGGGTTAATATTAAAGGGTTTGCCATATCATAGACCTCATCAGATAACCAATCTAATTTCTGACACTGGCTTCTTAATCTTTGTGTTTCCATCTTCATGTTCTTTTCCTCAGAAGTGTGTGAGAAGTAGTGAATAAAAGTGAGAATGAGGGGATGACTTCTTCCAGTTAACACTAGTAACCAATCATAGTCTCAAATCTGTAGTTTTTAGCAAGGCTTCCCGTGTAATGGACTAGTCTGGTATATTGTGCTGTGAAAATGAAGTAAAGTACACAGAAACACAGTGGTTCAGTACCAGTTCTTTCACTGTGATTTGATCATGGGGATCATTTGTCTCCCAAGCAGTCACTCCTGTGAGTACTGCTGTAAAAGGGCCAGTCTGAGGTATTGTGAAACTGAAGCTGGTAGTCTATCGGTGGTGTTTTGGGGTTTGTTTGTTTTGCAGAGTGTAGGAATACTACTTCCCACATGAAGTGTTGTTGGCCTCTGATACTAACTGATGTTAACTTTGGACATCAGAACAGATAAATAAAATTTGTGAATAAAAACAATCCAACAAAACTCTTAGACATTTATGTTTTCCATATAAATGTCACATTTGTTTACTGTTATTGTTGCAAGGCTAAATGTTATGTTTTAATCTGACTTTACCATTTCTTTCAGCTTTCAGACAGAGGACACACAGAAGGAGAAAAGCAGAAAGAAGAAAACGGTAGCACCGAATGCAGCAAACTAGGAATCATGGATCTGAAATTCACTTCATCAAGAAAATACATTTCCATCAGTGTACCATCCAAATCTCAAACTATGTCTCCACATATTAAATCAGTAGATGATGTTGTAGTTCTTGGCATGAATCTCAGCAAATTTAACAAACCTACTCAATTTTTCATCTGTGTTTTTGGAGTTTTTATGTTCTATCTAATCTATGGATATTTACAGGTAAATGCTATGAACTTGTGCCTTAGGCCAATTCCTCCTACCCTTTTCTTTATCAGTAGCATAATAATATAGTAAGTATTTTGATATATATAGACATTTAAAATGGATACTGATTGTAAAGTCAAGCTTTCAGAATTCAAGAGCAGTAGGCAGTTGTATAATGTAAGATTCACATGTTCACATGCCTTCAAGGTTTGGTTCAGTTGGACTTTACTTCTGTGTGCAAGATATACCTTTCAATATTGTTTTGAATGTGTATTTTTTAAATTGCAATGTGTATTTTTTAAATTGCAATAATATGAATGCAATTTTATAGTCTTCTGAAAACAAACAAGCTGTAGAACTATACAGACTGATGTATAAGTCTTCATTGGTGTTGAAACCTTTAGATCTTTGAGTTCCATGAATGCCGTGCAGTAATAGTAGTCTATTGTTCTCTCTGCTCTCCCTTTAGGACAGAGCTGAAACACGTACTATGGTTGGCTGTTAAGCAGAAGCATCATGTTTATGCCATTTTAGTTAAACATTTCTCTTCCTGCTAACCTTTTCTCTATTTATATGAAGCAGCTACATTTCTGTTCCTTTTTTATTTTTTTTCTAAGTTCAGTGAGTCTTCTCAATAAAGCAATGATTTAAAAAGTTGATTAAAAGTCACTGTGTTTCCAGTGCTGTTTTGAAAAACAGCTGAGAAGTGTGTTTAAGTTACTTCCAAAGAGTTAGACAAAGTTTTCGGTAATTGAAAGGAGCACCTCAAAAAGGAAAATATTAGGTAGCCTTTTGTTTCTATAACTGACATATTTACATAATTCTTTATGCAGTGCATGTATTTTCCCGTAAGAAGTTGCTCTGGTTTTAAATGCTCCTACAGTCTGCAAATTTATAAGCTCACAAGTGCTATTGAATGTAGGCACTCAAATTAGCAGGTGTGCGTTACCAGTAAATATGTCTGTTAGAGAAAGTTTGTATTTAATTTTTTGTGAGCTATTTATAAGTTCTGGCTGAGCACAGTCTACTGAAGCAAATGAACTGAAAACCAGCTGAAAAGCAGACAGCAAACCATCTGTAATGTGAGATAAATATTAATAGATCAAATATATTTCCTGATGAACTGATCCATTAATTTCAGTGGATTTACATCAGCAGTAAATTTTCTTATTGCATTTTGGAGAACCTAAATTGTCTTTTTCAATAGTTTGCTAGTTGCAGGTAAATTCTAGGTAATAACCAGCAGCTGCAAAGGCTAGATTTACATGTACATGAAGAAAAAAAAATCTGTTGATTTTGATTTGATTTAATATTTTGGTGTATGTATGTGACTTTGTGTTTTTGTTTTTATAGGAATTGATATTTTCAGTGGAAGGTTTTAAACCTTTTGGTTGGTACCTCACTTTAGTGCAATTTGGATTTTATTCCATTTTTGGACTAATAGAATTGCAGTTGATTCAGGACAAAAGGAGAAGGTATGTGTTTTTCCAAGCATTTTACCCACTGTCTATCAAATTACAGGGATTTTTATATTTATGGTAAATTTAACTTGTGTTATTTGAGTGGGAATACTATGAGGCGTTGTTAGTGGGTTTGTAGTTAGATAATGTGAATTTACTGAACAATGTTAGAAAATGTTTTATAAGCATCCGCTTAGATTTCAGACCTGTAAGTAGTCTTGTTGACTCCAGTGTCACTTTGTCCCACTTACAGACCATATTCCGTCCTTAAGGTAGCTGGTTTAGGCTGACACACGTAAGCGTGGCATGGGATTATGACATCTAGAATGCATTTCACAGCACTCGAAGCCATATGCCACTGAATATGTTTTCCTCAAACCTTGCAACCTCCTCACCAAGAGGTTCCTCTAACGTGTTGTGCATCTTGGAGAGTGTCAGAGGCATGCTGTCTCTGCCATGTGGCTGTGTAGGTTTACTTTAGAGGATGTGCTTAGGTTTTGCGTTTTTCATTTAAGATCACGCTTGTAACACCCTGCCACAAAAATTATTCTATGTTTTCAGTGCAGTTGACTAAGGAGATTCTTGCTGTGTTGAATCCTGTGAGTATGGAGTAGTTTGATATGACTCAGTGGGGCCATTCTACGGCTTCCTGCCGAACTACAGCCTCTGCAAACTGTATATTGAGGCCCTCTGGAAGCTTGGATAGAGGCTATCATGGTGTACGTGAATTTTAAAATTGCTTTAAAGCATTATATCCATTATGTCCTAGTTGAGCAAACTAGTTTTCCTTACCTGTAGTCAGCCTTGGCTGATTTTGCAGATGCTGGCTTTAAGTACTAGAATTCTTTTATAGCCAAACAATGCAACTTTGATAAATTTTTATTTTAAACACTGACAGCTTATATTTCAAGTTACCTGACTTTTTGAGATGCGTCAGGTAATACTGCATAGCTACCTTTTGGGTGTTCTGTAATTAGTATTTACATTTTGGTTACCAAATAGTTGCTAATTCTTACAGAGCATGACCCTGTAAGTAGGTTAGGTTGGAAATGTAGATCTTAAATATATTTTACATTTTATTTTCTATAACCTAGGCATCTTCTTGTAGACATTAAAAAAATGTGTTTCCTAATTTTTAGGCTCAATTGTCTGTTTCTTGAATTTTAAATTTTTCTTGCATGTCTCAGAGTATGCCTACAGCACATGAGTTATGGATAAGACAGGGTTACAGCAAGACATGTCCTTATGTTGCTTGATGTGGCTCTGAGTATGCATAAATATTGCTGAACATATGCACAGCAGTAACTGTAAAAAAATCACTTTACTAATTGAGCACAGTGATTACTAAAAATTACTGTTGGATCATCTCTTGTGAGGTGATAATTTCATCAGATTGCAAACAATACATCTGAAAATGTTCAACAAGCTCTTCCGTTCCCGATATCTGAATCACTTCTCTCTTGTTTCTGTTGAGTTTTATAAAACACAAGTACTTGTTTCACATTTTTACAACGAAGGAAGTTGAAAAGTTTCAATGTTCGTGTGAAAACTTCACCAAAAAAATTGACACAGTAACCATGACAGGACTAAGATTCAGGATGTCTTGGCACACCAATCTTCTGTGTTTCCTTTGACAAATAACCTGAAGCGTCTGTCTTGATTCTTCTGTAAATAGTATAGCTTCTCAGAAGGAGATTTAAGGATTACTGCTTGAGTACTTCATGAGCCATGAAGTTTTTATTGTCTTATATTAGAATGCTGTTTATTAGCAGTAATTGAAAGAAATGAAATTTGAAATCAGTCCTTTAAGTGTGTTTTTAAATTTCTATTACAGAGTGAAATTCAATGAGAAAGATGGTCAATTTCTTTATCTAAATTTTCCAAGCTAAATCTACTCTGGATAAGTCTGTAATACCAGGATTCGTATGTTTATATTTTGTAGAATTCCTGGCAAAACCTACATGATAATAGCGTTTTTAACAGTGGGAACTATGGGTTTGTCAAATACCTCTTTAGGATATCTGAATTACCCTACTCAAGTCATCTTCAAGTGCTGTAAGCTGATTCCAGTTATGATAGGTGGGGTTTTTATACAAGGTAAGTATTAGTCTTGCTATTAGATGATTTTTTTGTTGTTACTTTGAGAGGCAGTCATGTATGGAATCTTGTACTTTGTTAAATTCCAGTGAGGTTCATGGATAGAGAGGGGCAGGTAGCATTTTTCCTATAGGAGGAAAACCGTGAATTTCTGAAGCATCTTCTTAGAAAATGTACAAATACAATTAGATGAACAGAAAATGCAAGGAAAAAGAAGTTGTACAGGTCACTTGCAGGCATTCTTAATTTTTAAATAATGTAACTTTGTTTTCTAAACCAAATCACTTCATAAATGAAATGTTTTCAATACTGAAATGGAAAACTTGAAATGGAAGAAAAAAAATCCAGCCGTGACTTGTGAAGAAATCCCCTACTCTTCTTTTTTGAACAGCTTGATTCCTAAATTTTGATTAAACGTTTAATCAGAAATACACTGGACTTTATATGTCTTTGGCTAGTCCTAAAGTCATAGTTCATATTCTAAGAACAGAAAAAGGGATCTGGAGAACAACAGATAAAAGACTATACTTACATGAATAAAACATACTTAAGTATTTGTGGGTTTAGAAGACTTAAGTATGTTAGAAAAGTTTCTATTTGTTCAATACACAAGTATTCTTTAAGTCAGTAAAACTCTGCACAGACAAGTGCTGTGGAACAGAATCTGGAATGATACATTTCTGTTTCTGTAGTTAATTCTGGCCTTCTAGTTGCGATAGAAAACTGAAGTTTCAGAGGAGGTTACAAGTTTAAATATGCACATGGGCACACAGTATTTACCTTTGATTAGAAGATATTTTGTATCATTTTAATGCAGAGAGACTGGTATTCCCTTAAAGCTTTGTGAAACTTTACATTGTGTTGTATTGTATTCTCAGAAACTGTGATTTTTTTTTTTTTTTAATTATTATTTAAAAAATTTTTTGGTTAAAATGTTCAGTTCAGAAAAGGTCCATTGGAAGCTTAGATTCAAAGTACAGCTTCTGGGAAAGAAATATGTTATTTCAAACAAGATATACTAATTCCTGCCTTTTCATTTCCTTACTCTCTCTCTTCCTTCACCCACCTCCACATACCATCTCTTCCAAACTAGAGGACAATGTAGGGTTCTAAAGGTACCCAAATCATCTGTTAGTGTTTGGGAATTACTTCTCTCTAATCAATAAAGTCTGCTAAAATGTCTTGCACGAGGGAAAAATCTCAAGAAAATATGCAAGCTGTCCAGAAGTTGCTAAGATGCTGTTTTGTCAGGGAAGATGTGCTTGGTGTCATTAGGAGTAAAATTACAACTGACCACAAGAATCGGGTATTGTCTGTTAAGATCCTCCTCCATGTTAGGAACTGCCATTGTAGGAGAAACTAGTTCCAGTCATGAAAGGCCACAGTATGAAGTGTTCTGATTAAGTAAATGAATTACATGGGAACAGTTTTTCCTTTGACTTCTAGTCTGCTAAACAGGATAAACAAGAAATTCCAAGAGTGCTAACAGTCCGTTCATGTTGTTTGTATTGCTTTTGTAGGAAAACGTTATAATATTGCAGATGTGTCTGCGGCGCTATGTATGAGTCTTGGATTAATATGGTTTACTTTAGCTGACAGCACAGTTGCACCAAACTTCAACTTGACAGGTAAAGATATATTATATTTTAGTTTGACAAAATGCTTTGTTTTTTCCTACAATAAATGTTCCATAGTGTTCTTAATGGAGTGTCTTCAGGTATCATATGGAAAATGCAGGTTTCATCATAGCTTTGCACTAGCAGAACTATATTTGTGGCAGAAGAGGCCTTTATTCTAGGTGTTATTTTTTAGGTTCTTAAAATTTCTGGAAATTCCACCCATTAGGTTGAAATGTCTCATGGTTGTTCTTAAGAAATACTTACATCCCAGCAGATACATTTAAAACAAAGATGATATAATTCAATTTGACCATTTTAAAAATTCAAAAGATACATTGTCTTTTCTAGTTAAACCTTTTAAGTCTTTTTCTATTTCAGAAACATTTGCTTTATATTAATTGATGGTCTTACTCAGATTTGCTGTAGTTCTTAGTTCGAGTGTCCACGTTCCAACTTTTTTATACTGTGTAAAATCACAAGCAAGGAAAAGATTTTAGCCTGCTTGGGTTTAAAAACTTAACTGAATTTCTTTCTCAAATGACAAGAGAGAACTGGTTTTTCATAAAATCCATGTTGTTTACTTCACTGGTGTTTGGATTAATACTGAACCTTAAAAACCTTTTCAACATTCAACTTCTGGTGTATTATTTTGAAATTCTGAGATGAGTTGCAACATCTGTTAGGACAGACGTACATTGTGAAGCCTTTATTTCTTAACAATGGAGGCAATTATTTAGAAGTTTTGTTCCTAAAAATAATAATAATTCTTAGTGGTAGGGAAAAGACTTCTTGTTTTCACAAATTATTATTTAATCTAGTGTTAGTAATAATCAATTTGTGGTGTTGTCTAAACTGTGTATATCTTTTGCCTTGCTCATAAATAAATTGTCATGCCTTTTAATGTAATTTTAGTGCTACTGATAGTGGAAGAAATTAAAAAAAATCTGTGAATTATATAACCAACAATGCATTTAATGTGTTTATGTGGTGTGACTGGGTGGCTACTTGAAAAAAATAATATTTTGAGTACAGTATGACATTGGTATGCATGTAATTATATTCTGGTGTTTCTGATGTACAGGTATGTGTTACTATTACAGCGATTTTTGACTCTAGCCTCTAAGTGCCTTTACATGTTAATATATTTCTTTTGTAAAATTTGAATTGTTTTAGATATGTACCATGGCTTGATCCTGAATAGATTTGGCAAGTTGATTCTTCAATTGAATGGGATAGGGTAAAGTGCAGCAAATGTAGCAAAGTCTTGGTGACCTCGAAGATCTGCAAAACACAAGATAAACTTTAAATGTCTGCAGAGAATAAATAGGACTGTCTTTCATTATTAATTGATTAATTGATTTTGAACACTTCAGACAAGTCTGTATATATTGAAGCTTAGAGCACTACCATTTGGAGGAAGTTAGTGCTGTGAAAATAGAATATAGAACTAGAATTCGAAAGTCTGGATCTTCGCTTAGGAAGGTGATTCAAAATTCTTCTGCTCACCTTCTGAGAAGGTTCTTTTCTGTATTTCTCTGCTCCGTCTTGCCTGTTTTGGTTTATTCCCATGTCAACTGAAGCCGAAGAAACTCTTCATATTAGGAAAGGTGGAGTTTTTCCATTTCTGGGGTGAATTACGGAGATAGATTGTCCCTTCCATCGAGCAATGTACTGATTTTTGGTATTGCAGAAATATGTAACTGACTAAGTGTAAAACTAGTGATAAGAATGATTAAAAACTTTGCTCACTCTGCAAAATGACATACTCTTTTGAATAATTATACTTTGCTTGATGCAAATCACGGAATGAGAACTGAAAGTGGAGAGGCAGAATTTAATTTTGTGTCTTCACAGAGTATTTTCAAAGGAACAGGAAAGTATTTAAGGATATTAAAACTTTCAAAAACATCCACAGCAAATTAAATGTTAAACTTCAGAATTACTGTTTTCTAAAGTTGCAGTTTTATGTTACTGCCTACTTACTCCCCCGTAATTTCCTGAGTTTGTTCCAATGATTTATGCACATTTGTGTAGAACTGTTTCCATGCAAACTAGTATGATTCTAGCATGAGTTCATAGAACTTCTTCTAACTTGTTAAAAACAAAGCTGTTAGCATTTCACAGTTCTAGGAGAGCAAAACTGTGCTGTGAAGTTAAACAAAACACATGATCTTTGTCTGCAAATACTAAAACTGGAGCATAAGCGCATGTAAAATATTATCTGGATGAACAATTTTACAAGACTTTTTCTTTCTTTTTTTTCCGCTGCTATTGAAATCTAATCTCAGTATTGCTGGACCAAAAAAGGAATCTACACATATTTATTTACACACGAAAGAGGTCAGCCAAGAAAACAGAAACTCTCTTCTGCCAGAACAGGTACATATTTGTAACTAAGGAAGGTATGCTTTCAAGATAGAGTTGATGTGAAGAGCTGAAAGCATCTCCTGGCATTATCAAATTGGAGAGGTAGTGGCAGATATCCTAAATAGCTGTGAATAGTAGGTACAGGACTTCCAAAAGAGAAACCAGAAGAGAAGGGTGTGCAAGAGATAGTCAAAACATTGCTTCTGCAGGAACTTCCACTGTTCTGACATTGCAAGGTGTAAGTGGAAATTCACATTTCAGTGAAGACACAATAAAATATCAATTGCATGTAAATTCCTCCACCCTAGACTGTTTGAAAAGGTGCAGTTTAGTCTTTTGCAGACTAAGGTGTTTTGTCCTTAGCTTCACTGTTGTTAAGATGATATTGCTTGGTTAGGTAGCTCTGCTGTGTCTTCTAATCTTGCGTATGGCGGGCTTCTAAAATGTGGAGTATCAAAGAGGTCTTAATGGGCAGGTAAACTCCACAGACAGCTCACTAGTCTAACACATTTACAGGGGGGATTGTGAAGGTGAGAACGTATTGCTGAGGAGCTTCTGTAAATACCCAATAGCTTATGAATGTATAAGCAGTGTTAATAGTTTTAATGACTTCAAGCATCACATTAATAGTGTAAAATACAGCATAATGTGTTTCAATCAAGTCTTGTGGTGCGAGACCTACATGTTTAATTTCTTTCAGAACTAATTTAGAACCAGTTCTTCCAATCATTTTTACTCATGTTTACTACTACATAGCATTACTGGTCTCATTCGTGGTTTTGCTGCTTCCGCTGCTGAGCAGGTGCAGTGCTACGAGTGGAACAGTTCTTCTCTTCATACTCCAAATTGTGTATGAACATAATATTAACATGTGTCTTGTCACTACATTTCTCCTTTCTGTGCGCACTTGCACTTCAGATTCCAGGTAACCTTTTAATCTCAATCCAGTATAAACCCATTTATTTGTCCAGTGGTGTGCCTAGGCCATTAAGCACCGCTGGAACCAGCGTGATGGAGAACACAGATGAAGATACACTCAGTCACTTTACAGAAGTGATCTGCAGCAAGGCTACTGCTGAGCTAGAGGAGTTGTTACACCTTTGGACCAGAGCTGAATCCATGTAGCTAATACCTCTGTACTGAGGTCTTCAGCATAACCAGCATTTTTCAGGTTATCATGTCATTTCCATTGACTCATACCTTTCCCAATGCCTGATAACTTTGAATAACGAAGAGTCTGTGTTGCTTCAGTTGCATAAGTCTAGCCTGGGAGCAGAAATGGTTCCCAAACTAAAAACGCTGGTTTGGAAGTTTATAAATATCTTAAGGGTGCTTATAAATATCTTAAGGGTGGGTGTCAGGAGGGTGGGGCCAAACTCTTTTCAGTGGTGCCCAGCAACAGGACAAGGGGCAATGGACACAAACTGAAGCATAGGAAGTTCTGTCTGAACATGAGGAAGAACTTCTTCCCTCTGAGGGTGACAGAGCACTGGAACAGGCTGCCCAGGGAGGTTGTGGAGTCTCCTTCTCTGGAGATATTCAAGAGCCGCCTGGACAAGGTCCTGTGCAGCCTGCTGTAGGTGACCCTTCTTCGGCAGGAGGGTTCGACTAGATGACCCACAGAGGTCCCCTCCAACCCCTAACATTCTGTGATTCTGTGAAGCTCCCATATATCCAGAAGTTTGCCAATTTGTCTTAATGTTAGATCTTTGAATTCTGAAAATCCTAGGAGATGGGTTTTTCTTCCTCTGTCAGGCAGGAGCTTATACTCCGTTTGGTCCATCAGAATGCCTATTTTGAGACCTCTGATAGTATGTTTTTACTGTTAAGAAAATATAACGCTACTTGTTTCTAGTCTTCCGCTCCTCATTCTTCCCTGATACTTCAGATGTTTTAAGGAGCCAAGACTAGAGCAGACAGCAAATACGATTTTGATGACTGATGTCTTCTGTAATGTATACTCAGGAAAAGTGGTATTTCAACCTGTATGCATCATTAATTTCCAACACTCACAACATTAAATACAATAGTTGCTACAGTCATGAAAGAATTGACATGTGGAGGTTGGGAAATGAATTGTGACTGGCATGGATAAAGAGTTATAAATTTTTGTTATTGGAAAGCTGATTACGTTATTGACTGTGTAGTGACTTTGTTGTGAACAAATATGGTAACCTAAAACCAGGGGGTTTGTACCTGAACTATAGTTTCTTAAACGTAATATTTCAACAATGAAAGATTTCCACTATGAATCCTCTTGCATTTGTTTTATCATTACATCTAACATTTCTGTTTGCTTTTGTCAGGAAATATAATCTAGGAGTAACTACTTAAGAGTATCTTCTGTGGTTATTTATCTTCATTTAAAAATACCTAAATAAATGCAATTGACATTCTTTCACTCTTGTTACTACAAAAGCTACAGCTGACTTCCTTATAGCAATGTCCAGATGTTCCGATCAAGTTTAGAGACACACAGGGCTTGGGGCTTAACTGGTGGATTGAGTTGGGGTGGACACTGCTTTATACTAGTATAAAGAAATAGTTTTGCTGACATTTAGAATGTGATACAGAGGGGGCTTTATTCCTGAGCTTTTAGGTTTTTTTTCAGAATGAGTACAGAGTGGTTTTCGTCACTACTCTGCTGATAAATATTCTGAACAGGTTTTTGTTTGTTTTTTTCTTATATTAGGTGTGGTCCTAATATCCCTTGCCCTCTGCGCAGATGCAGTTATAGGAAATGTACAGGAAAAAGCTATGAAGTTGCACAATGGTTCAAATTCAGAAATGGTAAATACCAGATTTGCAATTTTAAAAGAACACATTCTATCATAGACAAGGCATATAATGACAAAACATGAAATTTAATGTGCTTTTCTCTTGTGTATATAAAGAAGGGCTCTTGGTGTACTGTTCTTGGGGTTTTCTCTTTGTTTGTTTGGGGGCTTTTGGTGGTTTTTTGTTTGTCTTGGTTTTTAACCTTTCAGGGGTGCTGCTTTCTGTGTGCAACTTCAAATGTATATTGCAGCTACAGAAGCATTTATTATTTCTAGCAAGAATTTCTTTGTATACCCTGCAGGCCTGAAATCAACAGTGTTTTCTGTATGATCCTGCACTTAATCTCTGAAAAATATATATTGTTCTTCTGGTATAGATAAGCATGTGTTACATGGAACATGTTGCTTTTCTTACTTTGCTAGACTTCCAATTCTAGAATGTGCTAGCAATTGAGAGGCAGCCTTGTTTGAAGCTTTTGAAATCAGTAGAACCCTGACTTTTGGAATGGGCAAATATGTGTGTTCCTGATTCAGTGAAATACGTGATTTTGAAAAAGTCTTGCTCAGTATTTTTTATATACTTATTTGGAACATGGTTTATCTGTTCATATGGCCTGACTTTTTTCTTTTTGGGCAAAACTTTTGTTTGAATTTGGTATCTTTTTCTCTAAAATATTTTAAATACAAGAAAATCTTCTGTTATAACAGGTATTATTTGAATATGCCACAAGTAAAAAATTATTGAAGTCTAGTTTGCTTATTTTGCATGTATTTGACATTTAACTAGAAAATCTAGTTTCTCATGAGAGTAGCTTCATAAACAGAAAGAAAAATGGTTAGAAGGAAGCTTCATTTATGGCTGAAAATTACTTAGGTTGCCTCAAGAAGTTTGAGCTGCAAGTTTCTGGGTAGTGGAAGAATATACCTGAAAACTGTCACTGTATTCTTTTTTTTTTATTATTATTATTATTTTTATACTTTCTTTTTCTATTCACTGTTGACTGCTGCCAAAGGCAGCTAGATGGACCTCACCTGACCCAGCGCAGCCTTCTATAGCTGTAATCTCTGAAATCCAAAACAGTACAATCTGTGACTGTTTTCTTGTCCACTTTCCATCTTGCCAACGGTCGTCTGAGAGTTGATAACTGCCTTACCTAGGATGCTCCTGTTATCTCCAGAACTTTGCTTTTTGTCTGCGTTAGTCTGGCAAATGTTGGTCTTTCTATTGTATACTCATACTACTTGTAGAAATTCAGTGTAGTGATTAAGGATATAAAGGTTTTGTTTGTTTGAGGCATAGAGATTACACTCCAGGATTTTATTCAGAGAATTCAGTGCAGATGTAGAAGCAGAATTTCAGAAATAATTTTTCTAGACTTGAGTTTGTGGGTGAAAATTTAAGAGGTCTTCTGTATCAGATAGCGTGTTCAATGGACAGCCATCTGCAGTAAAGTTGAGTACTGAAAGAACCTGTCATCTACAGGATCTCTGTTTTGTTGCTTAACTTGGAACTTGCCCTGGATTAAGCAATTATGAAAAGAGAAAAGGTTTCATGTGACTGAAACAGTAATTACTGCTCTGGAAAGTTATACCTGAGTTAGGCTTGTGTGTGGTTCTAAGGAAGTGACTCACATCACACTGCCTAACAAGGAACTAGCGATGTGGTACTCATTGCTGGTTGTGAAAAGTGAGGTCTTTGGGTAGTTTGTGAAAAAAGCTGGGTGCAGAGGCAAATGAAGAACTAGAGACTAACTTTTGTGTGTATAAACACTGTAAAGAGCTCTGAAGATCAGGTCATTGTTTTTTAAGAGGTTGAAAGCAGTTCTGCTCTTGAAAGGTAATTTCATCTTCCTTCATTGTCGACCAGTGATAAGTGTGCTATTGTCTCATGGCATTGCTATTGATTGTTAACAGATTTATTTTTGCAAATAATTGAGATAGTATAAAAAGAAAAATTGATGAAACCTGTGTCAAAAGAAGTAGGCTTTTGTGGGAGGCTTTTTGTGAAGTGGGGGGACGTGTGAATGGGCGCTTCCTGCTTCTGTTGTTGCCTCTAGATAGGAAAAGATAGGACGAAGATTCTTTGGTTGCTTTTGTATGAAGCTATGAGTGAAATATGTGTACAGACAAAACAAAGTGGTTACCTGTTTGCTGAGTATAGTGTGTTCTGAGTACTGAACTAGGCCAGAGCTGGTCATATATGAAAATCTTGTATCCTATAACCATAATGCAGGTGTGCCATGTATGTGAACTGAAGTGGCACAGATGAAACTTACGTGACACTTCTGGCAGTTCATGGTGATTATGTGCTGCATTTTGCACATTTAGTGTAATATGGATCTTTACTGTGCAGGAAGAGCAGCAGAAAATGAAATACGTTTAACTTATTCAAACTGTAAAGTTTTGTTTAGGCTGTGAAATCCTGAATTTGAAGGATTTACCACAGTCAACATTGACGTCAGGATGTTAACAACTGACTAGCTTACAAAACTTTTTTTTATGTAGTTGTGGGTAGTCAGAATGTCTCTAACAGTTACCATTCACTTTTCATTGTACATCAGCTATGATAGAAATCCTAGGAAAAACATCTTCAAACACTGCAAAGTCAGCTCTGAGAAGCTGAACAAATTAGTAGGGCCAAAAATTTGAAAACATTTAATTTTGTGTTTTTGTGTAGTATCACCTGGTAATTAAATTCTCTTAAACTATTCTAGGTTTTGTATTCCTATTCAATAGGTTTTGTGTATATTTTGTTTGGATTAACATGCACTAGTGGATTAAGCCCTGCAGTAACATTTTGCTCAAAGGTAGGTATAAAGATTTCCCTTTTTCTATGCACAACCTCATTGGAAAACATTGCTCTGTATGACTTAGAAAGTATCACCACTTCTCTAAAGTTTTAATTTCTTCAAGTAAACTGGTTGATTTGTATAATTCATACGTTAAGGAAGTTGTTACAGTCTTTGGTGTACAAGATAGGATAATGTTTTAAAAAACAAAATCTTAGGACCAGATGTATGAGCTTATAATGTCATTATTATTTTTCCATTATTTAACTAAAATTAAATAAGGATCTTTGCATGAATGCATTGTTGAACAGCTTATTATTGCTCAAGCAGTTGATTAAAGTCTGTAATTTTATGTCATTTTGCAATACCTCAATGTAAATCTGTTTGTTTTACATTTTCCTAACAGGCTTTTTTTGTTGTTGTTGCAGCATCCAGTTCAGACTTACGGTTATGCATTCCTTTTCTCCCTGACTGGGTATTTTGGCATATCCTTTGTTCTAGCTTTGATTAAAATCTTTGGTGCCCTTCTGGCTGTAACAGGTATGAACAAATTATATCTTCACTGCTTTTGGTATAAAAACATGAAGTAATCCTATTCTATTATTTAGGACAGAGCTTTTAAGAATTGTTCTCACTCTGGATTTTTTTTTGTTCTTTGTGCTGACTGACCGTGGTTTGTGTAGCTTGGATCTTCTGTAGCAGTATGTGTTTGAGAGCTTCCTGGTTCTTTCTGTGCCACAGTTTCAACCTCGAAGAGTCTGTTAAGTAACCTTGTGCATATAGCCTGTGCTGTCTTTTAGTGCATAGACAACAGTGTTCTAAACAGTGAATTGCAATGGTGAATGTGTAGCAAGGTGTAAGGAAAAGACAGGTGTTGCTTGAAACATAGAAGGAAAAGTAAGGATGTTCCAGTAAGGCGTAGTAGGCAGTGTTGTAGTCTCTAAGCACAGAATTTCTGTAGATTTCCAATAAATGGTGGAAAAACTGTGAAGAACTCCCCTAAAGCTTCTTAATGTCCATACAATCTCAGTGGAATGCTGAAGTAACATTAAATGTACACTCCAGACTCGGTTCAGAATAAACTCAAGTGGAACAAATTCTGACTTCTATGATAGTCTCCTCAGTTCTTTTGTTAGACTGAAGGGAATAAAGGGTGTGTATTAGTTTTGGAAGTCAGGATTTAAAGTAAACAAATTTCTGGTGGGCTGTGTAACAGCTGCTGGATTATTTCTAAATTGCAGCTTGTGTATTCACGGGACAGGTACAAGCCTGTTGTTAATGACAGAAGCAGCCTCTGTGGTCTTTCAGTTCCTCTTCTAGACTTCTGATGTAATTGTCCCACAAAAATGGAAGCAGTCATGTTTTCTGTTAAATGTTTAGTACAGCATATGACTGAATCAACCCTGTCAGAAGAAACAAATGTAAAGAACTCTGATCGATAATGTGTTGAAAAGATTTGGGGCACTCACTGGGGTGTATGCCAGCCACACGTGAATGTGGAACTATTAAGTCCCTGAAGTGTGTCAACAGTTGCTGGAATCCTCTCCAGGCTAAGAAAGTCACCAAGTGCCATCTTGTCTGCTCCTGTGATAGTTCATGAACAAATAAAAAGTTTCTGTGGTGTGGTGTTCTCACCTAATAATATAATAATTTCCTAGCAATAAATGCAAATCAGACCTGTCTATGCTGACATGCTCCATGTACGTGTCAAGACTGATGAAGAAAAGGAGGGTGTGAAGCAAGAGGCAGTCACAACTGTTATAGATTTTCAACCTTTATAGATATTCAGACTTGACTCTTATCCTATATGCAACTGGACATATTCTTCATGTTGAGTAATCATTCATCTGGAAAAATCACATGGAGAGATCGAAATCCTGGCTGAGACTGGCTCTTTGTGAATGAGGAAACCACTGAGCACAATGAGTCTCAGCACTGCGCTGGAAAGTAATGTCATCTGGTTATGCTTGGTCTTTACTAATGCATTGGCTGATATGTGCCTTAGAAAACAATGAAAAGTATTAAGACTAAACATGTTCTGTTTGGAGGGACAACTGTATGGCTTCAGAGAAGGAAGTCTGTTCAGAGCTTGCTGATACTTTGCCTGAGATTCTTAATGGAAGAAGCAGTGTAGAAAATTATTAAATCAAAGGAATCACTAGTAAGACAGGTGCAACAGAAATCCTGGCACAGATATTTTGTACTAGTTTATAACGGCTTACATCTGTATTTGTGAATCCGTGGCAGATTTTATTATGTGGCATTACTTGAGTGGGAAAGCTACCTACAGCCACACAACATAACTGTATTACACGTGAATGCTTTTAACCTGTATTATTATGAGTTTGTAAAACAATCAAGTGACTGAAGCGTTTACATATCAGAATATTCTCAACTGTTGGAATAAGGTGCTGTTCATTTTAGCAGCAGTTAATTATGTTGCAAAATAAAATTGTTTGTCTGTAGAACATTGTTGCTTCCAAACTTTAAATGTGACTTGAGTGTATTTTTCAAAAATCAGTCGTTGCCTGTCTAGCTTCTGTCATTTATATAGTCAGTACAGTAGTCTGCCAAGAACAGTTAAACCGGGCTTGTTCCTTCCTCAGGTTACTTTTTCTTAAAACTACAAATATCAGTCACAAGGGCCTGGAGCGGGTGAGGGGAAGGTGTAGCAAGATGCCATGGAGCTGTTTTCCTCTCTTCCCTCTGCTCTTAAAAGCTGGTTTCTGTCAGGTGATGCTCTATTTCATTCACGGTAGTGCAGAGGAAAATACAGGCAGTTGTTTTTTTGACCTGAGGATTGCATCCTCTGCTTTCCTATTATTGCCTCTGCAACATTTCCATTTCACATTTTTTTTGACAAAGTTCACTACATCTCCTGACTGGAAATTGGCCCAGATAAGAGGGTTGGTTCACGTAAAAAAAAAAAAAAAAAAAAAAAAAGTCTTATTCTGCTAAAAAAAAATGTTTTAAAATGCTGTGGAATAGCAAACCCTTCCCAGGTTTTCTTATTCCTGACCTTGACAATCCTAACACTCAAGCCCTTCCAGTCTTGCCTGTAGCAATGTGAAAATATTTATTGTGCCTTGGAAGAAGACCACATTCATTACTAGCCCTCCCACCCCGCATCCACCCTCCCCCTTCTTAGGGGGAGTGGGGTGAAAGAGTTTAATGAAAATTGTGTTTCTATTAACAGAATGAGAAATTATCAGACTTAATTGGGAAAAAGAAGAAAAGGCACTTAATTTAGAAGGAATTGGTTACATAAATATTTTAATTAATAACTGATTTGAAAGAGCAGAAATAATCCTAATTAGAAAAACTGAAGTAATTTAACCATTTTTTAAATTATTCATCTGTAAACTGTTTTCTCATTAAAACTCTGTTTTCTTTTGCATTCTCCTTTAATTTTTCATGTAATAGAAAATCATTTGATGCGCATAAATTTCTTAAAATGTAAACAAAATTGTTACTAAAAAGTCGAGATTGGAGCAGATAAAGCAAAGGTGAAGGCTGTTTCTTCCACTAGAAAACATGCTTTTAAGTAAATATTTGTTTGTGGCGAAGGGTTAGGAAGAATGAAACTTGCTTTACCTAGCCATACCAGCATGAATATACATCAGTAGGCATTGGCTCCTTTTGTCAGTGTGTTACAGTAAAACTAGTGTGGGCGTAGTTACACAAGTAAGGCTTTCCAGTATGATGTAGTAAGAAGTACTTCATAATAAGCAAAATATTTTCTGTTACTGAATAACATAGTTTTCTTTAGGTGCAGGCAATTGTACTGGGGTCTTTCTTGAGCAGGAAGCCTGCACTATAGTATAGAACACCTTCTCAGGCCCTTAACCTCTGTAGCTAAACTCGTACACCTGGCTGCCTTTTTAATTATTTTTTTTAAAACATTTTCTATAAATTTTACTCATTTTATTGAATTTATTTCAATGATAAACTATATAGGTGTCCCAGTCCACAACTTGCTAGCAACGCTGTATTCTTGTTCATAGCAGATAGCACTGAAATTGTTCAAGTAATTGTTGAAGCTATAGTTAATTTGAGAGTAACCCAAACAGATAGTTTACTTCCATTTTGGTAGCAGGATTTGATTTCTCAGCTCTTCTTGATACCTTGATTGTTTCTAGTGATAAGATCACATGTAGAGGAAGGTCTCTTAATAATTTTGATGAAATCTTCCTGATGCATAATCATAGAAGTCAGACATTCTTGGTCTCTTAGGTTTCTAACCGTAATTTTATTTCTCTTCACTATTAGGTAAACTTACAGTCACTTCAAAAGAATGACAAGATGGTGATCCAATTGCACTTAAAAAGTAAAGCCCAAAACACCTCTGAACTGGAATGAGGTGGAAGTGGCAAAAGATTTGGTGTATCCAAATAGTGATACCACTTCTTTCTGCTTTAGCAGATTACTTTATACCATCAGTTGCTTGCAAGGATTGTCTGTTGCTTTCAGATACCGCGGTTTGATTAGCATGAAGTTACTAAATAACAAGTCTTGTTGTGGAAGTTTCTCTGCTGCAGATACTGTGCCTGGAGCTGGTACTGGTTTCAGACAGCAGATAATACTAGCACTGTTTTGCGCTGGACCGGGGCACCTGCAAGTCTGTGTTTGCACCACGGGCGATCATCGTTTTAGCCAGACAATTATGTAATGATGTTATCTATTAATATTGAAGACTATATTATGTTCTTTTGCTGTAACTGAGTTCTTAAAGTAGTAACATTTGTTTTCTTCTGCAGTAACGACAGGAAGAAAAGCAATGACCATTGTGCTTTCTTTTTTGTTTTTTGCAAAGCCATTCACATTCCAGTAAGTATTTATAGTTTTAAATGGGTTTTTATATATTTTATAAAAAATTATGTTCTTCATCATGGAAATGTAACCACAGTAATTAATCATATTCAGGCATTAATGCTTTTCATTTCATATCTTCTACAAATGTTGGCAATCTGCTGTAATACTGACTGGCTTGTTGTTGCTACTCATGTTAGAGAAAATAGTTTCCATTTTTCTGAAGGTCTAGAAGACAAGCTATTCCATGTGTTGGCATTTTTTGTTGATTTTTTAAGAAAAATCTTACATAATACCTAGTGTTTATAATAATAAATTATTGGGGTACTTTCTCTGTGGAGGAAGGTCTGGCTAAAGGAAGGCATTTTCTCCATGACAGTATTGCTTCTCCTTTTATGAGCTCACGTTTGAGTTCTTAGCTTTTCCTTTTAAATAACTGCAAGCTGGTATTGTCTTCATATATTAGATTGCAAGATTTTTGTGCTTGGGTTTCTTCCCTTTTTTTAATTTCAAGGACGAGCTTACTTTGAAAAATCCAGCTGAGTTGCTGTATTGATCCTAATTGCTTCTGTTTTGAAAAAAAATAGTATTCAATTTTATTTCTATGTATAAATTTATTTGAAATTTAAGAACAAAGCTTACAGCCAAATACCCAAATGGAATTTACTCCAACTAAAATTTTTCAGGCTAAAAATAATGGAGAGCTGAAAGAAAAATGCGCCTATATTGGGAAGTATGGATAGAAGGCACTGAGAACACATTTTGGTCCAGTAATAGAGGGTCTAGCTCTCATAACCATAGGAAGGAAAAACATACCAAAACCCCTGAGGACTACTTTATTCATGTGAGAAAGAACAGCTACTGTTTAGTTATTATTTAACTATAAATACACCTTAGACTCTCCAGCCAGAATGTGAAAAGGAAGGGTAGAAGGACAGTAGTAATAAAGATTCAAGAAAAATCTTTCTCAGTCCACTAATTTGTGGGGTTTTTTTTCCTTCAACTCCTCTCCTTAATGTAGGCACTTCATTTTTATTTAATCCACACATATTAGTATGTAATCACTACAGATAAAGTGCTAATGGTAACTTTTCCACCCTTCTCTTCCTCCCCTTTAGGTACGTGTGGTCAGGCTTACTGGTTGTCCTTGGTATATTTCTTAATGTTTACAGTAAAAATATGGATAAAATCAAACTGCTTTCACTACGTGGTCTTTTGAAAAGAAATGTGGAAGAAAGAAAAACAAGGACGTTGTCACAAACTGTATAGACAGTGGTTTGTGCCTTGTCTAGACTATGACTTACTGTTATTATTTTATTTGAACTGTTATTATTTTATTGGAACAGTCTTCAACTGATTCACTTTCCAACGGGAACATTATTAAAACCAAAGGATCTGAAGGCGCATTGTCTGCTTGCAGATTTTTTTGTGAGCCTTTTCTTCAGAGCACTTGAATTCATCACAGAAGGTTTTGTAGGCCGTTGATGGCATCATCAAGCAATGAAGGACAGCAGCTACTGGCAAACTGCTGAGAAGTTGCACTGCAAGTGGAACAGAGCAGAAGACTAATTTGGGCATTTTAATAATATTGGCCATGTGGCTGATCTGAGATTAGTGATTCTTTGTTAATTTGTCTAGGCGGGGTAATTTAAATGTAATACTGTATTAACATTTAATGGAGCCTAATCAGCACCTGGTTCACCAAATGCGATTTTACAAGGTGGAATGTTTAGAGTGTGTTATGTTGTCACTCTTTTTCATCTTAAATAAAAATGTTTCAGGTTTTTTAAGTTCTTGATTAGATCATCCCAGAACTTGGTATTTATTGTCGTAATTGAAATTTTTATGGGAATCTTAAGGTGTTACTCTTTGATTATTGCTTGCAACTAACAAAAATGAGATTGAGTCTGTGCAGTCAACACCTATGCTTTTAGTAGAGGACAGTGGGCTTTTAGACGTAAACAGGGTGAGAATACAGAATGGAAAAGACATGATGGAAACAAGATTTTTAGTGTCTTGTGGCCCTCCATGCCATAACGGTGTAAAAAGATGTGGGAGCTCTCTAAATTGGTATCATCAAACCAAAACTCTTAATTTTCCGTATTGGAGTAAAGAATAACAGCATCTGCTAATACATTTGGGATATGTATTGTGTCAGTCTTTGTGTGGTCCTGTGATGAACTTAAGAGGATTAGGGTACAGATTACAATTTTCTTTATTTAATGACAGGAGGAGACAATGTACTGCCAGTCTCTTTTTCATCATGAATTTAGAGAGATAAATGGACTTAGTCTTCCTTACTTTCATATTTAACTCGCTTTTGAATCGTTTGCCATCTCTTTCATTTGATATATTTAACAATAGCACTTTAAAAATAATAATCACCTTACAGTTCATTGTTCTCATGGGGTCATGATTTTGTTGTTGTTGTTGTGTCCCTTAGATGCATCTTGATGTGTATTCTTTCAACTTAGACAGAATTGGAGAACAGAATTGTGTAATCAGGAAGAATGTACAAAGAATTGAAATATTGCAGAGGATTGCCTTCTGCCAAAAATATTAGTTTATGAAAGTATTCAAAATACAAAATGTTTTTCAGACATTTGGGAAGAATTGCTGTTCCAGGGAGCTTCTAATCAAAGCACAGACACAAAATGTGCCTTAAATTTTGCTTATTGAGTTGGTAGCTAGCATATTGCATATTAAGTATGTTATGAAATAGAACATGGAATAAAATAGACATCTTAACACGATGGGACAAATGAGTGGAGTGGGAAGCTGTGCTAACTGCACTGTTTCCAGCACTCAAGCTGCTCTGGTATGTCAGCAAAGCCTTTCAACCCATATGCATCCAGTGTTGCCCAGTTAGGGGAATTTATTGCGTGTGAAAATTTTGTTTTTTAAATTCCCAGCTGCTGCATGATTGATTGTGTCCTGGGCAAGGTAGAGAGGTGTGAATTTGACAAACAGATACACCCTGAAAGAGAAGTATGGCCTGCCCTGACTATCTGTTTTCATGTTGCAGTCAGAGTTTTATGAGAAGATGTGAAAAAGGGTTACAGTTTCAAATTTGATGCAAGAGTGCATTTGACCAAGTCAAGGGGATTGATACATGTCCTTCCCCATATTATTTATTGACTCTTATATTCCCTTGTATTCTTTTGACTAAATGAAGTTCCTCTTCCCAGTGAGGTTAAGTTACCTATCAGGCTTAAAAAAAGGGACAGTTTCTGAATCATTGAGAAGAGAGTAATTGCAGAACATTTACTGCTCTGTTCAGTAGCTTGGTGGAACTTGGTAATTAGAATTTGAGCATTGTGTTGACAATTTTTCAGTCTGTTTTGCTATCTGTAAACTCTGTCTCTTACTAAACTGTATTGAACTTCAGGAAACCAAATTATGTGAAAGCTACCATACATGCAGAAAGTCATAGTAAGTATCATTCGTTTGGCACCTGTTTCATATAAAGAGATGAGAAGTCACTCCCAAAGTTTCCGCCTAGAATTCAGATGTAATGTGTAGGTTGCTGTTTATGATGTAATATGTAGGCACTGTTTATGTAATCCAATTTTGTCTCTATTTTCTCTCCTTGGAGAGTGTAGTGTTCACAATATTTCACCTTTTAATTTATTCTCTCTTGTATACAAGACTTGAGTTAGTGGAGCACATGTTAAGGGAAGTTTTGATTTATTTTTTATTAACTATATAAAAGTGTGTTTTGTTTTACAGGTGTACTTTAAAAATGATTTTTGTAGACAAATATTGTAGGTTTAGTGTTAATAGTGTAAATTTAAGAATCAGATTTTTATTTTCATAAGCATGAGTCTAGTACTTGCTAATCAACAATACGTAAGCTTGTTAATGAAAATGCATACATAAGTGAGAGCAGTTCGTAATTTGCCACCTGTGCAGTTTCATGCTTTCATTGAGAGGTTAAGAAAACCTTCATTTCAGTGATTTTCTTGTCTGTTTTTTAATAAGCTTTATAGCACATGCAAGTAAGATAACTGTACAAACCTCCAAGTGTTCTTATTATAAACTTTTGGTGTAGAATCTTCTGCACTGTATATGTAGCTTTTTATGTTGTCTATGAAATATGAATAAGGGCTTGTCGACAAAGTAGCTGTAAATTCTGTGGTTTTGTTCATATAAGAGCACTTATATTGGGATGTTGGTTAACCCTTCCTAATGTTGCCACGTAGGCTGATCATAATAACTTTTGCATTTTATAGTCATTGGCTCCTGGACTCTTTACAGTAGGCATTGTGAAACTACAGAAAAAAACATTTATTCTGTCACCATAAAAGATGTTGTCTAAATATAATGTGGATCAGTCGCTTCTTATTCTTATGCTACACAACTTTCTCCTCTCTGCAGAAAAACTCTGATATAAGAATTAGTTATAATGGGATTGAAGTTCACACTAAAATTTAAGGCTGCCCAAGGTCTCCACTAATGTGGATCTATGCAATCTACCTCTGTGACACCCTGACCTTGGGAGGACTGAAGGAGCTCTGTTTTCAGTTGCTTTCACATTACATTTTTGCATTTATTTGGCACGCTTGAATACCAAAGTAATTGCGCAGTGGATTTCTTCAGTATTTTAGTATGTCAGTATCATCAAACTGCTAATTATTCAGATACCTACATGTCAATACAAGTGTGGAAGAACTAATACTCTGAACTAACCAATACCCCCCTCCCAAACCTACAGTGTTTCCTGATAACTGCATTAAACTGTTTTTCTTAATCTTGTTTTGCCACTCATGTGCTTTGAATTTACCAAACATTTTAGCCTGTAACTTAGGCATTCCTAATTGTCTTCCTACTTGTCGTCCTTACTTGTCTTACTTTGGATGATAACTCCCTTTTCAACATGCTCTGCTGATGCACTATGGATTGTTTCAGGCTTCTATTCTGCATTTAAGGACTCACATCAGACTATTGCAGATTGGTCACATTCCTTTTTTATCCATGAAAAAAAATCTTTCCTTTTATACTTTCCGTTATTTTTGGGAAGGTCTTGATGAGTACATATATGAGTTAACTCCTTGACCTTGTTCCATCTTCCAGGAAAATATCTCTTCTCTCTTGCTTGCCTTTGAGAACTACAGGAAGAGGAAATAAATTATTGCAAGTGCTCTTTTTTCTTTAATAAGTGTCTTCCTTACTAACCTGGTTTGCCTTAATTGTTTCTTTTTTCTCTGCCTGCCATGCTCTCAGGCATAAATAAGCCCTTCTCTCATGTTTGACCACTGCTTGTTCAGTCATGGAAACTTTCTGAGTTGTTTGGTGTTCTGAAAAGAGGTATAGAATTGCATGTATGCTCTGGAGGGCAGGAAATAATAAGTAAACTTCACAAGTTAGGGAAGTAATTAAATGGATTCTTACTTTTTTTTCTGGAGGGGTTTTATATATGGTTGAAGTAATAGCTCAGAATTTGTTAGTGGAAGGGGTTTTTTTCTTGTACATTTTACCTGTTTAAAAATCTGTATTAATTTTAATATTTAATATAAAATTCCTGACTATTCAGGCAGTTTATAGAGATTAATTTTAGTCTTGCCTATGAGGCAGAAAAATCCTATCTCCGTTTCACTGATGAAGCAGAGATGGTGACTAGCCCATAGTTGCCTTAGTAAGTCTGTGATGAGCAATGAATAGATGTTAATTCCCTCAGTTATTCTGTGCCCCAGATCCAACAGAGCCATTCTGTACCTGAAATGGAACAGTACCAATGTAAGCTCGGTTTTCTTTTACCCCAGTATTAAAGTTTTTAAATTGTTCCTGTTTCGTGTTCTGTACTAGTATAATTTAAAGCGAAGACAGACATAAAATAGGCTTGCTGCATTTTGTTTGAAGCATCTTTGCGTTGTTTGCATTGTTGTCATCTCATTGATCTGTTTTCTGTGAACACTGCTACGGAAACAAGCCAGAGAGAGTAGCAGGCACAGCAGAAGCATAATACCCTTCATGTTCAGGTGACTGGTCCGAATTTAGTCCACCTTGCTGCTGGTCAAAAGCTGCTGCCACTGGAAAACTGTGAGGAGTTGTGTCACTATATGAGGGATTGAGCATAACGGTGTTGTGCTGGATCTGTATCTTTTTGCCATTGACTTGTAGAGAAGCAAAGACAGTAATGCAATAAAGAACATTGGTGCACAAATACTCAGAATATAATGCTGACTTAATGCTTCTTTTCTATACCTGGATCAATTTCTGCTGTTCTGCTGTTTTTTCGTGAGGTGTGATAGTAATATATTGCTTCTCTA